TGAACCACAATACTGATAAGTGATTAATAAAAGTCAAAAGACCAAAGAGGTCACCTTAATACTAAAAAAAAAAAAAATAAACTTTTTATATAAACTACATAAATTAGATAATAATTAAAGTTGTATAAGTAGTTAGTTATATACTCTTTTTATATAATTAATAAGAAAATTAAAAAAATTATATAACAATTCTAATTTAAAAATATTTATTTAACAAATGATAAAAATTAAACTTAAATATAACAGCTTGTTATTAATCTTATAACAAATAAGAAATAGTTATTTTTAAATAATTTAACTCATGTTTTTAAAAAATAAAAAATAAAATCTTAAAAAGTTATATAAACAATAGTAAAAATAAAAATATAAAAAAAATAAAATTTAATTATTTATTTTTATTATCTCTTAAACTGTCTAGTGAACAAATTTGTCTGCTAAAATTTTTTTTACACAGTTTTTATGCATGTGCGCCTGATTTTTCTAAGCCTCACCCCCTATATCTTTTAGCTAAAATTAAAGTTTAACATATCACCAATCATTTCTCGTCTTGTGACATCTCTTATATGAAATAATGCAATGTTTATGTAACTTTAAAATTGCCCACCCAAAAATTTCTTTGCTACAAAATCATTTTGCACATCATTAAAAAAAAAAAAAAAAAAAACCTATGCTCCCAAAAATAAAAAAATTAGGTACACCAAGTTCATCATCAAGTTTACCTTCAAGTTCATCATCATCATCTCATTTTAAAAATTTAGAGACATATGCTGATAAGAAAGAATATATGCTGATTTTGACTACCAGAGAAATATTTTTAGTGATCCAAAATCAGAGGACGAAGATAATAATAATGACACAACAGACACTAAATGTGTTCAAAAAAGAAAGCGCAAACAAGCTCACAAACTACCACCACCACCTTCCAATTTTGAACCACTGGTTCATTAAAGTCCATTGCATTGTACAAGTGTTAGGTTACCACCACATATCAATGTTGGTATTTCCAGGCTGATTGATTTTTTTTTTTTCTTTACAATTTCTATGTTTGATATGATCGTTACAAATACAAATGCATATGCATTAGTGAAAAGTGCTGGAACTATTGGTAGACACTGGGAAAACTTGATCTGTAAAGAGTTTTTTGTGTGAGTTGCTCTTGTAGTTTATCAGAGACTTTTTAAGCTTCCATCTCTCAACCAGTACTGGAATGAGGATCCAAAACTTCCTGTCCACCATATATCAAAACAAATATCATTGAAGTACTTTGAGTTGATCAAAAGGTTTCTGCACATTTCTCTTCCCATCCATGCATCAATGCTTAAACATTACTTTGAAAAATTGGAACCATTATTTTCAAGCATTCATGATGCCTCAAAACAATATTACATTCTGAGTTCAACCATTTTAGTGAATGAAATGATAATCAGATTTTCAGGAAGAAGTGTTTACATGGTCCAAATAAAAAGTAAGCCCATTTTAGAGGGTTTTAAGATTTTTTCATTATGCAAAGCAGAATATACCTACACTTTTTTACCAACATCACATGTTTTACCAAATAATGTAACAAACGTGAATGGTCTTAATCAAACCGGTTCTTTGGTTCTTCATCTTGTTAGGCAACTTCCATGCTTGCAATTCTCCTACGATATATATATGGATAATTACTTTAGTAATGTTCCTCTTTTTCTACAACTTCGACAAATGGGAGTTGGGGCTTGTGAAACTGTCTAAAAAACAGCATCCAGGTTTTCAAAAAAATTAAAAATCGATAAAGATATTAAATTTGATTGGGATATTTGTTCAGGTGTTGAAGTTGATGGCATGTTGGCAATTTTCTGACAAGACAATAGGCCAGTTACAATGCTGTCAACAATACATAGTCTTGTGAGTAAAGAGTAGGAAATAGAACAGGAAAGATGAAGACCAAGAGAGACAAGTACCAATGCAATAAAGATATGTGCAGTTTTTGGATCTAATCCAAAAAAAATTTGAAAATACTGAAGGTAATTGATGACTACAACCACCATATGAATGGTGTGGATGTCGCTGACCAATTACGATCCTACTATAACACCCAACAAACTACGTGCTAAAATTGGATGCCACTTTTTTTTGGCTGTTAGACATTGCTATTATTAATGCATATCTTATCACAAGAAATTTAGGATCCATGCAAGTGCATAAACATTTTTATAATAATTTTGTTTGGGGTCTTAATGACTTTGCAAATAATGGTAGCAAAGTTCAATTAAGAGATCATTCAAAAGAAAAAAAATTGCAATCAAATTCAAAAGAAAAAAAGAAACCATCGAAGGTCACAAAGCATTTTAAACTCTCAGATCTTCGTTTGGCATTGAGAAATCACCTTGCAGTGTAGAAAGACTATTGAGAAGCATGCTAGTAGTGTGCTTGGCTGGCAAGCACTAATCAATTGGATATAGATCGCAAAATACCAAATACAAGTAAGGTTTGGTGTTTGTCATATAATGTGCCATTCTGTTGTAACAGCAATCGAAATTGTTTTCTTGGCTTTTACCTTGAAAACAAGAAATTATTAAGTGAATAAAACAACAGTTTGATGGGTAGGTGGGTAGGCAAAGCAGTTCCATGGACCAAAAATAATGAATGAAAAAATTTAAATAAAATTAAAAAATTTTTTTAAAAAAAAAATTTTTTTATTTTAATAGTGTGCCAATTTTATTTTATTACTAAAATATTTAATTTATCAGTTTATTAATCAATTTAATGATGGTATTGAAGCTAATATTACACAAATTAATCTTCTAAAATTTAAAACTCAAAAACATTAAATTTTGATTCGCAAAATATCAACTGACTGATAACCCTAAAATTTTGATTCAATGCTATTGGAATTCTAGTTTTAAATAAAAAATTTTACAATTAATAGCTGCATTATTAACTTTGATTAAAAATATAAAGATCAAATCTGCCTAGAAAACCCGAAAATTTAAATTCGCATAAAATTATTTACAATTTTGAAAACACAAAATCAAGTTGCACAAACTATGCAATATTTGTTTTGTTTTATGGCATATGCAATACTAAAATCGAATTACCGTCATGTAATCTGAGCTCCCAAGAATCATTCTAGCCGATTTGAGCAAAGATTTTTATAAAATTTTTTTTACTCATATTAAAATTTTTTTTACTGATTTTAGCAGACAAATTTGTCTGCTAAAATGGATGGTTTAAGAGATAGTATATTTATTATTGTAATTTACAAACTGGGTGTGATAATACTAAAAAAAAGTACATTGCAATGCATGTAACTTTTTTTTTAATTACCACACCCAGTTTGTTAAAGTTAATATTTAATATTTATATGATTTAAGAGCTTTTAAAAATGCATTTCATAAATTGTTTTTATGTTTTCTTCTTCAAGCAAATTCTAACAAATAATTTTTAACAATATTTTTGTTTCTATTTCTTGATGCTATATTTAATTTAATTTCTTGCCAAAGGCCTTCAATATAATTTGTATGTACACCAGTTTCTTGTTCAATACAATTTCTTGAATAATTTATTAGTCGATGTCTAAAACCCAATACTTCAATACAGCTATATGCCTTCCATTTGTCTGTATATATTATTGAACCTTAATGTACATGTTCTTTAATTACTTGTTTCAAAGTTTCTTTGTCACATTCTTCTACTATCTTAAAAAAACATTTTCTTTCAGCAGTTCTTTCTATTTTACCAAAAATCCACCAATTTTCATTTTTCTTGAATTTTGATTCATCTATTTCTACAATTTTATTTTTACTACCAATAATCAAATCATTATCAGTTAAAGTGCTAACTACTAAATCTTGAAAAATATTTATATATTTAACTATTGTTACTGATAAATGTCCAGTTATTGAGCTAATAGTTGTATATTTTGCATTAGCAATCCAATAATATGCAATTAATAAAATATCACAACATAAAATATTTTTATTTGAAAAAAATAATTTTGTAAAAACTGATACAGTTTTTCAACATTGCTAATTTGAACAAATATAAAATTTTTCTTTTCTAGTTAGTATCGAATTACATTGTACACATTTGTTAATATTATTTAAAACATTATTTTCAAGTAAGTATTTAATGCATTCTTCTTCATTGAAAAAAATATTATGATAGGCTTTAAAAATTGGCATAGACATTGTATTAATATTAAAAAAATAAATAATATTCATATTTAAATATGTACTATATTTATAATTTAAATAAAGTTATACAAAATATTTAATTTTTTAATAAAAATAATAAGACAATTTTCAGGACTACTAGCCAGAAAATTGTCATATTTCAAACCACATTTTTATATTCTAGACGATGCTTTGCACTTTTTCATTCTTCAGAAAGAACCAAGCTTCATTTTTTTATCAGTTTGTTTATTATAATATGACAAACGCTTTGATTTTGATGATAAACAATTCCAACAAGTTGAAATTGTTTCTAATCAATATTTTATTTTTGTCAAATCTCACAAACAAAAATAAAGTTTAACAAAAAAATATAATAAATAAAAATATAAAAAATAATAAATATATATAATTTATTTATTGTTAAATTCAACTTTCTGTTTAGTATGCTTGCTACATGGCAAGCTTGCCACATGGCATGCTTGCTGCATGGCAATCCTCTCTTCACCTTTTGGCAAAATCATGTGAGTTTTGATCTTATGATAGTTTGCGAGCCATAGTTCACAAACAATCTCAGATCAAATTCTACTTAAATTTCCTTTTAACAATTGTTCAGTTATATAATTATACGAGATAAAAAATATATCTTTAATTCCGATAATTCATTCTGTTTGTTATTACACTGATTTGAAGTACCTGAATTTTTGATATCTTCGATATCGACAATATAGCTATGACCCTGTCTCACTTCAAATTGTTGTAAAAAAACGCACAAAATGAATAAAAGCTGCCCATATTTAAATATACTTCTCTGCTCTCTCTCTCTCTTTTTGCAATATAAAGTGTTAAACAGAAATTTGAAATGCCTCGAATGTTTATGATAAAACAATTACAACAAGTTGTAATTGTTTTCTAAATACATCTTATTTTTCAAATTTCTTTTAAAATAAAAAATAAATATAAAAATTAAATTTATATATTATTAAATAATTAATAAAATACATGTTTTTTTATAAAAATTGTTACTGAATTTTGTGTGATTTTAGTTAAACAAAGTATAAAACATTCTTTAACAAATTTAGCTTGTAATTCATATTTTGTTTTGCTGTTATAACAACCATTATTGATTGTTGTTAAATATTTTTTAAAGTCATCAAATTCAAACTCTTTAGTTTCAAGATATTTAATTATCTGGTCAATTTTGGTTTCCTTGTGATAAATTTTATATAATTCATTAAAGTCATTACAATTTATTATATTGTGTTAAAATATTATATGTTTTGTGAATAACATTTTGAAATATTTCTAAGTCAAGAAAAAATAATATATATTTAATTTATATACTTTTTTAATTTGAAAATTTGATCATCATAATCAGCAAGTTCAAGTTCAACATCTTCAATCGAACATTTTAAAATTAGAAGTCTTATATATAAAAAGAAAGAAATAATGTTTTTATGTTCTAGAGTTTCTTGTTATTCTTGTTGATTTTGAGAAGACATTTTTTAATAATGCAAAAATAAATTTCATCATTTTTTATTATTAAAAAAATTATTAAATATACTTTATGCTCAGTGATGCTGATATAAAATAAAGATGAATTATTTTACTAAAGTTTAATATATTATTGATTGGTATCAAAGTAATCAAGTTAAATTTATTACAGTGATTTTGTAATGTTTCATAATTTTTTCATTTTTTTAAAAAAATTTTTTGAAAAATTTATTGTAAAAAAAATGTGCATCAAAACAATTACGAATCTATGAAATTTCATTATTTTTAATTATTCACTAATTAATATATTCAATTTTTTACTAACATTTACATGATGTTGGTTATAAATTGGTAGTAAACAAATTATCATATAATTAAATTTTCTTATTGTTAAAAATTATTTATTATAAATAAAATTTTATTGGTACAAAAAATTACTTTATTAAGAAATATTAAAAAGAAGAAATTGATAACAAGTTTGTAGAAACTAGTTTCAGATTAACAAGAAAAAAATAATAAAAAGATGAAAACAAAATTTAATATAAAATTAATTTCTATACATTATTATTTGAACAAAATGTTTTTCAAGAATATTATCAAAAAAATCAAAACTGTATTCAAAAAACAAAAAACATTTAATGATAATAATTGAAATAATATTATTCAAGATAATTTAAATTGGTCTACTTGTTCAATCATCGATAAAAAAGATTTTTTTCAAACCCCCAAACCAGTAATTGAACAAGAAAATCAATTTATTACAGAAATTAAAACTAGTGAATACATTGTGTTTATATGTTATGAAGAATTTAGAAACTATCTTATTGAAAAAAATTTAATCAACTCATCATTAAAAATTTATTATGACACTTATTATAAATGATTAAATAGCATTTTAGGATGGATTGATTTTCATGTCTGGCCAACATTTTATAGGTGGAATAATGGTCTTTATTATCATTATATAAATCATATAATGGATTTACTAGAAGATGTGAATGAAAAAAATACTTTTTTAATCAATAAATATTTTTTTGAAGTTAACAAATATGTTGAAAAATATAATATTAAATATCTTTTTATCTGGAGTGATTTTAAAGATTATAATAAAAAATATTTAGCATATTAGTTTTTTATTTTGTATAAATTAATAAACATATTACTTTGAAAATGTTCTTATTAGATAACATCAGAGACAAATATTAAATATAATAAATATTAAATAAATTATCATTCCAATAATGAAGAATTCTTTAAATAAATTATTTTAAAAATAAATGCAAGAATATCAAATTTTTTATATTATTTACTATTAGCAAACTAAAGAAAATAATCACAGCAAGAATTAAATAAAAGAAATGCATTTTGTTTGTTTAATTTTGTTGAATTAGTAAAAATTTTGTAAAAAAATAGGCTTGAAAACAATTTTGAATATGTAAAAGTTTGTAACAAATGAATCATAAAGAAGGTAGAATGTGAAAACAGAAGATTTTTATTTCTAATTCAAAAGCTTTTAATTGGTTCATTTACCAACAACCAAATTTTTTTAGTATAAACTTTAAATTTTAATAATGTAAATATAAATTCTAATTTAAAATAAAGGTTCAATATATTTTACTAATTATATATATAAATTATAGTTTAAAAATTAAATAACTACATATTTTATATATAATATAATTATAATTTAAAATTAAAATA